CAGTTAAAAGTGAAAAGACCATCATTTTTAGTCTTTATTCTTTGTTTTTTACATTATGCATAACTCTCATTTATTGTGCAATAATCTAATTGGAACATATATTTGTTACATATTTTGATTTATTTTTATGCTTTCTATTTTTGTCTAAATTTTGGGGGGCTTGGAACGGATTAGGGCATTTACATGGAAAACGCGTCTCTAATTTTCTAGTGAAGAAATTTCTTCCAGAAGCAATTAATTTTGTAAGTAGAGGTACCACTGTATTTGTTTTTGAGCCCAGTACAGTAATTCTAAAAATACGTGATTGGTGATAAATCAATTTCATACATTTAACACTGACTCATTGGTTTTTAATCTCATCGACCACTAATTGCCAAGTCAAACACGAGTTTCGCATCGCCCAGCCATGAATTTGCGGCGATTCACCTATTTGCTTTGAGTTTCAATGCAATCACGTGAACATTACAACAGGGCTTTCTTTTGTCATTGACATTCGAATGTGATGCACTCGGGCGCGCCCACACTCAACAGCACCCTTCACATAGAAACGCTAATGGAGTCATTATAAATACTTGCATTTTGATAAGATTCTAATTGTTTCCAGGTTCGGCCCCGACAACACTATTGTCATGTCAACGAGCGGCCAAGACGACCCGGGTTTTCGCCCTTTTCAGATGAAATGCGGCCTCGTGTGACCGATTTGAATAGCTTCTTTCACACCAAGATCCTGCAAAATCTGGCATTTATCAATAAGATGACATATGGTCTAACTTATAGAATAGTTGCCGGGCAGTGACACAACCGATCTCATTACAACAGGGTCAGAGATGGGTGTTAAATTTCAACATTGCTGCGTGATGTTAAGTTCGCGTTTATGTCAGTGTTGGTTTTGATACTACCTCCTCCGAATTACTGTTTGTATAAAGTACAATGCAGTCGAGTGCGATTTTTATCGTTAAAAACACACACACATTGCATTCTTATTAGAGTGTTACCGATTAAGAGTGGGGCGGGGGGGGGCATTCATTTATTTTGGTCAACACACCAAACGCATTAAAAATGTCTGCTATTAGCTACATATCAACACCCGGCCCAGCGATTGTCATTTTTGGAAGGGGTTTCACGCTCACGCGTTGGCCCCTGGCACCTCTGTGCTTTGCACGCCCCTGTCCTGCAAGCGGGCATTGTGAACAAAAGCATCGTGTGCTTTAAATCTGCCGCGTCCCTCCGCGTCGAGCAGTCAAATCGACGCGCGATTGGCCAACGCCATTCACCAATCGCAGGCCTCGCAGCTCATTAGCATTCAGGTATCCCACCAATGGCAGCGCGTGTTGACCGTGCGCGCGGGCGCCAGGCACGCAACTGCACCGGGAGAGAAAAGCGCCGCTTGGAAGGTCGGAGGCGCGATCGAGCCAGGCCGGAAGCGACCCAGTCCCCGCTGCATCCCGACTCCGAGGCTCTCATGGACATACCGGAGCCGCTCGGCCGGCCTACCTGCATCTGACCGTTTCACGGCGACTTTCAATGGGCGTCGCACTGTTTCCTGCTGCCTCACTTCCAGTGATTTGTGCGGTTTTAATTCATTCGTATGCATCAATTTAACATGCCAGTAAGTAGTGCCTTTTATATGATCGTTTCTTTATATGATTAAATGTAATGAATGAAAATATACAGGGAAGGCATATTGCCGTTTGATTGTACAACTGGATTTTTTTTTTTTTTTTCCAGGGATTCCAATGCGTACTGGCCATCAGCCAATCAGAGGCTTGTTTACACTCTGGTGACTGACAATACGATGGAGGCGCGCCAGCCAATCGCCAGTGCCGACGCACACACGTACACACAAAAGGGCTTTCGTTTCGAGATATTCAGCGTCATGCAATTGTCTGAAGTCGGTCTAATGAAATGTCAGTCATACGAAAAATAAATAAACAAATAAATTAATAAATACACAAATCCATACATACATACACACATACAGTATGCACATATTATGTCTACATTTACGATGTTATGATTTACAAAAAACAAAAATAATTTGTCAATCGATTAGTTGTGTGTATATATATATATATAAAATATAAAATATAAAATATATATGGCCAGCACACCGGTGATCCTAATGAGGATACGCGATTAAAAAAATGCATGGATGGATGTACATTTATCCAATTGATTTCATGAATGACGTTTTATTAGATGATTCAAGAAACAAAATTGGCTTCAGGAAAAATGTTTTCCCAAAGTTTCCCAAAAGGAAATTTATCATTGACATTAACCCCCATCCCCACCCCACCATGGGCTAAATTGTTGCAAATGTGTTTTAAGCTGCAAAAAGAGCTGAAAATGTATCACCTAATATTTTGACATCGTTTCAGTTAAATAGCCCATATTTGTAAATTATATTTATGTTGAATCCCCTCTGTGCTTACGTTGGCTGACTTCGCACTCCAGGTTAGACCTGCGTGTCAAAAATGCAATAATATATCGCTATTTAAAAGGCTCCATTCACAAGAATCCAACAAGCAGAAATGTGATGTGTAGAAAGACTTTTCCGTGGGGTTTAATGAATAAAAGTCAGACAAGACTTTTAAAAGAAGGAACTACATCTGGTTTGACTTGATTTACCCACCAGTGATTGCTACCTATGCTCAGTAAATGCTGATTTGAAAGTACCGTGCAATTGTAAGCGTCCTCCATAAAAGTCATGTAAAATGGAACATAAACATGACTGCGGGTGCGTATGACGCCCGTGCGAAAACAAACAACAACACTCTTGCTGTAATAGCACTCATTGATTGGAGCCTTGCTTCACTCGGCGACTTGCCATCGTGTCGCGGCTTCCGAAATCACTGTGGACTAAATCCCTTTACAAACGACGTGCGAGTGCTGAAACGGAAACGAATTGAAGACTTATACTGTATGTCTCAGCATACCCCAAGTGGAACTGAAACTCGGTGACGAGAGATGGGATGACATCACAACAATCGGATTGAATGTTCATTAGTTTGTTGGCGGGATAATTCAAAAACTGTGAAGCTACATGTTGTGTTGAAAGCAACTGTCACGACCCAGACGATTATGTGATGAAAGTCAAAATCGACTAATCAATGTCATCTACAGTGGTACCTCTACTTACGAATGTCTCTTCATACGAAACTTTCAAATTACGAAACGTCTCAACAGGAAAATACTGCCTCTTGTTACGAAAGAAATTTCAAGATATGAAAGGTAAAAATACAATATGGCCTGCGACTCGCAGCTCAGTTTCCTGAACGCAACGTACTCATAGCTGCTCTGCCATTGGCTATTGCCGAGCATCATTCTGGCATCCTATTGGCTAAGAGGGACTTCTACCGTATAGTCGATGTGTGTCGACAGATAGATAGGTGTCAATGCAGCGTCCTTGTCATTCGCCCCTCGGGCCATGAGGTGTTCCGAACGTTTTACGTAAATGTGAGTCACCCAGAAAAAGTGTTCACCAGTCGGGCGGTCGCTCACAATGCTGATGTTTGCCTCGGACATTTTCGAAGGATTGTTAAAAGCCGACAAACGCAAACGTCCTTGGATCAGTTCTTGACCAAACGCCAGGCAAAAACCACTTCTGAGAGAACATGAACTAGAGAGGGCAAAAAACGATCAGGACGCAGTTAAAAGTGAAAAGACCATCATTTTTAGTCTTTATTCTTTGTTTTTTACATTATGCATAACTCTCATTTATTGTGCAATAATCTAATTGGAACATATATTTGTTACATATTTTGATTTATTTTTATGCTTTCTATTTTTGTCTAAATTTTGGGGGGCTTGGAACGGATTAGGGCATTTACATGGAAAACGCGTCTCTAATTTTCTAGTGAAGAAATTTCTTCCAGAAGCAATTAATTTTGTAAGTAGAGGTACCACTGTATTTGTTTTTGAGCCCAGTACAGTAATTCTAAAAATACGTGATTGGTGATAAATCAATTTCATACATTTAACACTGACTCATTGGTTTTTAATCTCATCGACCACTAATTGCCAAGTCAAACACGAGTTTCGCATCGCCCAGCCATGAATTTGCGGCGATTCACCTATTTGCTTTGAGTTTCAATGCAATCACGTGAACATTACAACAGGGCTTTCTTTTGTCATTGACATTCGAATGTGATGCACTCGGGCGCGCCCACACTCAACAGCACCCTTCACATAGAAACGCTAATGGAGTCATTATAAATACTTGCATTTTGATAAGATTCTAATTGTTTCCAGGTTCGGCCCCGACAACACTATTGTCATGTCAACGAGCGGCCAAGACGACCCGGGTTTTCGCCCTTTTCAGATGAAATGCGGCCTCGTGTGACCGATTTGAATAGCTTCTTTCACACCAAGATCCTGCAAAATCTGGCATTTATCAATAAGATGACATATGGTCTAACTTATAGAATAGTTGCCGGGCAGTGACACAACCGATCTCATTACAACAGGGTCAGAGATGGGTGTTAAATTTCAACATTGCTGCGTGATGTTAAGTTCGCGTTTATGTCAGTGTTGGTTTTGATACTACCTCCTCCGAATTACTGTTTGTATAAAGTACAATGCAGTCGAGTGCGATTTTTATCGTTAAAAACACACACACATTGCATTCTTATTAGAGTGTTACCGATTAAGAGTGGGGCGGGGGGGGGCATTCATTTATTTTGGTCAACACACCAAACGCATTAAAAATGTCTGCTATTAGCTACATATCAACACCCGGCCCAGCGATTGTCATTTTTGGAAGGGGTTTCACGCTCACGCGTTGGCCCCTGGCACCTCTGTGCTTTGCACGCCCCTGTCCTGCAAGCGGGCATTGTGAACAAAAGCATCGTGTGCTTTAAATCTGCCGCGTCCCTCCGCGTCGAGCAGTCAAATCGACGCGCGATTGGCCAACGCCATTCACCAATCGCAGGCCTCGCAGCTCATTAGCATTCAGGTATCCCACCAATGGCAGCGCGTGTTGACCGTGCGCGCGGGCGCCAGGCACGCAACTGCACCGGGAGAGAAAAGCGCCGCTTGGAAGGTCGGAGGCGCGATCGAGCCAGGCCGGAAGCGACCCAGTCCCCGCTGCATCCCGACTCCGAGGCTCTCATGGACATACCGG